AGCAAATTCAGGAGAAGAGCAAAACAACTGAGCATTAATTTGAGCAAGTGCGCACGTGCTTGAAACGGGGCTGTGTTTTAAATCATAGTGTGCTCCCAGCGCTAACTTATGGGTGCGGAACGTAAACCTTAAGCCCGAAAGCTCTTCATACACCTCAGAGTACGCAACGCAGCATGAAAAGGTGTATGTTCAGAAGAATAACAAAAAAATGAAGATTAACACGTGAGTAAGAGCAGAAAGAACAGACTGTGTTGTCATTGCCCCAGTGAAGACGTTAGAATGGCAATGGATCGGTAGGTTGCAAACAGAACCGACAGTCGGTGGTCTAGAAAAACATGGACTGGATTCCAGGCAAGAGTAAATGACCAGCTGGAAAATCTCCAGATCGGCGGTAGAATGCGCAAAAGATGTTCTTTTGACCAAAATTGGCAAGCATCATGCATCATGGCAAACAGAAGTTAATGGGAGGTCTTGATCCAGCGGTGAATCGAAAAGGGCTGGTAATGAAGATTGAAGCACATGAATGAAAGAATAAATCACGTTGTTCATCAAACAGTACACTAGTAAATCATGCATAATTTAGCCTCTGAATAGCCGCAGAGAACATTTACCATTATTATGACCTTCGCAGGTCAGTTGCAAGAAACGGAACAAACTACATATGAAATCTGCGTCATTCAAGTTTTGATGTTCGCCGACCGAAAGCTCCGCTCCCATTCCCATCTCTTCAGCTTTGATCTGGCGTTCGAATATCTCCAGGTTCAGAACGCTGCAAGCAAACATGTACATTCGAAGTTGTTAATAGCACGGTCGGAAAATTATCGAGATGGGTAAATGATGAAAATGACTTCAAACTGAAATTAGTGATGAAACGATATCACATATGAGTATCCTATATTCCCTGATTAGCAAAGTTTCTCATCTGATTGTGATTTCACGATAGACAGTATCAAAGTTACCTACATTTGGACACAAACTTTGATCTAGAATTAAACGTTTTTAGCCCCCTTTGGTTACTGTAGCCACGGGAAGATAGGCTTAAATTTATTGGTATACACTATTGTTTGAATACTGAATACAAAAGTGATTCAAAATCATTTATTAATATCCTTAAGATGACCATATCATCTTCGACCGGTTGAGACTTCTATCATGTCCCTGCTGCAGAGAAGAAGAGAAGTAAGAATACCATACTACGAGAACATGACAGATATGTTGAGCAATCTTGTAATACATGAAAAAATGATTTGACAAATTCATCGAGATATTAATATATATCTTTTGAGAGTTGCTGAAGTGGCTGACCTCTCATTTCTTTATTTTATTTACATAAATCCTAGAATTAAAACGTTTCCGAAAAACAAATATCATAAATAT